GCTTAATAGAAGTGGCACTGCACTGTCAATCTGTACAGTGCTGTACAGTAGGCTGTACAGGTCCTGCAGGCCTGTAGGTGTAATTAGGCATCCTGTTGGTCTCGCCGGTCAGGCTGAGGCGCTTGGGGCCATGAGGCTTTCATTAAGAACTCACAGGTGTACGGATGGGTCAGTTTAAGGAACGCCGCAACGTGTGCTTCCAGTGTAGGCGACTTGTGCTGACCAACATGCGACACGAATAAGCGGCGCAAAATCAGACTGGCCGATCCCTAACTGGGACCTTGGACCAAGCACATGCGAGGCGAGCACTGTTTAAGTCCTGGGCGAGACGACGCAACACCAAGAAATAGTACTCAAGTTTTGCTCATCTTGTGAATGTGACGGATGCAAGGCGCTTAATGCATTTCCTTTCTGTTACAGGACTGGCAGCTGCCCCAATCGCTCCGGGCAACGGCAGTAGTGACAACATGCTTGAGCATGACTGCGCAGTAGAGATCAGCACAACAAAACACCAGTAAACGGTTTTTCAACGTATACTGCTCGGACCTAGGACCTAGGCCCCATGTTCAAGAAAAGGCAATCTTCACCGCCAACATCGCAGCTTTCAAGAACGAGGCGCCAGATGCTTCTATCCCGACGCTGAACACGAAGCCTGGATGTTCTAGGCAACAAAAGGAATGTCTCCTCGACGGGCGGCGAGTCTCGCAGATCATGATACATCGATCCCATCCGAAGTCCCTGCAATGTTGCCGGGCTGGCGTTGCCGATGCAGTCCTGTCGCCAGAAAAACAGACCGTAGGACTACTGCTGCTCAAAGTTTTTAATTTTGTCCTCAATCATCTGACATTTGGGTATCTCCCCAGACTGGAACTGCACACTGCCGGAACCCTGCAGCAATCTGATCTGACATCCGAAACCGGTGGGAAGTGCTTCACGCTTTGCACCCGTAACTGTCGTTCCATGCCTTCCTCGCAAGTAGAAGTGTGGTTGCTCTCATGCATCAGCTCGTGCTTCAACGCTTCCGATTTTCATGCGCATTTCTGCGCCACCAGTCTGGCAGCCTGCGTGGAGACTACCCCGGGTAGCCTCTAAACAGATTCCCGACGCGGCAAAAAAACTAATTCAGCTAGTGTCCCCGGACATATCTAAAACGATGCAATGCTCCTCAAGTCGGCAAGGGATTAACGTGTACACAACGTCTAAGGCATAGTCTAAGGGGCACATTGCCGGGTGCATCATGCACGCGCTACATGCTAAGGTCAATTCGGCGACGCGGATCTTCAAGCGTGGCATCGCACGAGCGATGAAAACATCCAGATCCTCCATGAACCTGGCCATCTAGATCTGCGAAAGCTCAGCTGCAAGCGTTGCCTCCGACTCCCGCCAGTTCTTGCCCACAGGTGGTGGTTTCGACGTGCCGCAATCCCTGACACACGAGTTGTTCTTCGGGGCCTGGGGAATCCCAGTCTGTGTGGCAAGCTGCAACATGGAGAGCCGCCGTGCCAGAGCGTGACTCTCTCCTGATAACCAAGGAAGATAGATTGGACAGGCATGGGCTAATGACTGCTCATTCCGGCACACGCAGGTCATGCAGGCATGGCTGCGAGTGCTCGATGGTGCAGCAAGTCCATGCAGGCCACAGTTTGCACAGGCTGCGCGCCGGCAACGAAGGCACCGACTAGCGTACAGGAAGCAATCACATCAGTTTCCACCTGCTGGCGCTGCATTTGCAACGCGAGAGCTGCAGCCGTCCGCCAGGCATGTCCCGTGACACAGGCGAGCATCGCCGCATTGTATGTTTGCGCGTTCGCCGCTTGGGCCTGGGCGGCCGCACGCTCAAAGTCGTTCAGCAGTCCGAGGGCGGTCTGCCACCTCGCGCACTTCGAGCACGAGCTGATGACCGCGCTGTACACGACGATGTCGCTTTGCTCTGACTTCTGGACAGTACCTGAGCTTGGGTTCAGAGAAGAACATAAGTATACACATGTAACTAACATCCTTTTTCTGCATGCAGACAGACAGACAGACACGCTCCACTTGACAAATATGATGTCGCCGGGTCTTGAACCTTCTTGAGGTGTGGGCGTAGCCGAGCCTATGTACACAGTTCAAGCAACACTCAAGAAGATGAGTCATACGATGTAAGCAGCAAACAGGAAGCAGGTACGTGAGCCAGCCGTTCCCAGCTCATGATATCAATGATCTGGAAAAGCCGCTTCGTTGGACTGCCACTGCTACAGCTATGCAACCTCGTGCATACGACATGACTTCGTTTTCAACTTATGCGTGAGGTACGGGGACACACACACACACAAACTTCCACACGTGCACGCAAGTTTGCCTCTCAACACTCGCATGGAACGTTTGACGAGCAGATGCCTTGGTCGTTGTGCGCACGGAACTCTGCAAAGAGCCCCAGGGCCTTCTCCCATTGGCTGCCTTTCTCGCAGGCACTGACGGCAGCACTGATGGCGATCAGATTGATATCCACTGCTCGCTTTTTGGCACTCCTGCCGTGGGCAGAGCAGGCGTGTCTGACATGTTGTGCTGAGATGAAACAATAACCGTGATAAGCAACCAGTGACAGGACATGACGGTCTTCCCTGGAACTCAACTCCACGTGGAACCAAGTTGAGAGTCGTGGAGCGGTCACCATCAGAAGCAGAGACTCGTCTAGGCTTGAGGAAAGCCTACCAGGTTTGCCGCTTCGTTCTGCGGCTGCACTACACATGGACCAGTTTGAACACGCTGCCTCAACACAGCCATAGCCTCTTCCCAGCGCAGGCTCTTCTCACAAACGCTGAGCACGGCACCGTATGTGACGATATCGGCCTCCACTGATGGCAGCGTGGAACGATCAGTCAAGGCAGGTCATCTTCGTAAAATGCACACAAACACACTGTGACTCTGACATGTGATCATTGCAGTCGGCCCCTGCCCCGGCACCTGCAATCCGGCAGCGGGGCTGCTCGCAAGCAGCTGAAGAGCCTCCGCCCAACGGTGTCCGCCCTCGCAAGCGCTGATCGCTGCGTTGTAGCCGATCTCGGATAGCTTTCTTTTGAGCTGCAAGCCCCGAGGCCCTCGTGGCCAGAAGCCCTGAATCCGACTTGCCATGCAAGGCACCAGGCTTGGCTGAACTGATGCCGCGGCCATCGTGGCCAGAAGCCTTATTTTGCGTGACTATTGAAACTAGCTTCTGCTCTTGCATTTTGGCTTTTCGCTGAGGTGTGGATTGGCAAAGTCCTCGCACATTGGATCCAAAGTTCCAAGACATTGGGCTCTCGCAACCCGGTCATGCAGTCGAGGTTGGTGCGGTTCGAAGGGTAGCACATTGGCTCAGCAAACTTCCATGAACATTATATAGGGTTCCCGAGTTGCAATCCCTCAAGGTTCCAGGATCCTAGCCTAGACTCCTGATGGTCCTAGGTCCCTTCATGATGGCCGCGAAGTCCCAGCATGGCGATCCCGAAAGCTCGACCCTGAAGACTGAGGCGAGGGGCGATATGGCTTCTTGCCACAGGTTTCCCATCGCAAAGGCATTGAGCATGGCGCCAAAGGCCACTGCATCCTTCTCCTGCGAATTTTTCGTTTTCGATTCCAAAAGGGGCGCGTTAGGTCATGCGGGTCCTGGCTTCATGGCCAGCATCCTAGCTAATCATCATCAACGATGTGTCGATGAACAAAACCTCACAACTACCCCACAGCAGTCGACAAGGTGTTTGCTGTTTCATTGCTCTCCATCCTTCAAGTCGTGGTAGACAACCCTGAAGTGTGAATCTGCAAGGGCCCATCCCCACTGCTTAAGGTGAACGCAAAAGCGAGCTGTCCAAGCTCAGCTTGTCGAACTCCTTGTGCAATGCCAGAGCCTCCCACCAAACATTCAAATGAATGCTGCGGTGGCTGGAGTCTGGGGAGAAGGTCCGAATTGCTGTCTCGCACGAGCTTCGAGGACCCATGAAAGGATCGAACCCTTCGGCATTTTGAAGTTTGATTGGAACATCAACCAGCATCCTTGTTAAGCGTGTTAAGCGAGCAAACTACGGATCCTCGTCAGTGGACTGGCTCCGGAAGTTATACAACTAATGCTGGATCTTGCTCATTTGTCAACAATCACGCATCCACGATTGAGAGGGCAGCATGAACTTGGGGGGGGACACAAGTCTTCATGCGACAGGCTTGTGTGCGCTTGATCAGTCCTATCTGAAGGCACCCAAACATCTCTGCACAGGCTTCCCCCTGAAGCTTGCGGTGAGGAAACTGGCCTGCGTCCACCGGCTGCTCAACGCACAGGCGCTGATGCAGGTGGAACAAAGGACGGTGTTCACGCGCTGGTCTCGCTCCTTCCTTTCTCGTCGCGTGGGGCGAAGTGGGCAACCATTCTCCATTACGTGGCCTAGCCTACAATGTGCATTAGTTACACAGCAGCAAGCTGGCAGTTAGGTGTGCCTTGATCCTTGTCAGGAGTTTGTGCTCAACTCCGGCTTATCGGCTCCAACTCATTGTCTTTGCTCCCAAGCCTTCAACAACCCAAATCGCCTGAGTCAGCAAATCAGCTCCGTTGCAGACATGGATCAAATCAGCCCACACATCCAAGGCCCGCCTTTCAGGTCAAGGTTTGGGATTTGAGGTACAGGTACAGTATTGGGGCATGCTTTCCACCCGAAACCTTCCAGTGGCGTCTTACCAGGACAAAACACATGCCGAATCCGCGAAACCCAGGTCCGACTTCCAGTGTATGGAAGGAAGACTAATTCTCCAAACAGTGAGCACCGCGACCCCCAAGAGACGACCCAAAGTCCACCAGGAGCCCACTAGGAAATCTCGACAGACGTTTGTCAGGCACCACTACCACCATGCTTCTCCGCCTTCGTCTGCTGATGTCTGCTGGGTTTGGAAAGTCTCGAGGTAAAAGCGAAGCCAATCTATTGGAATCTGGCATGAAGCGTGCTTGTCGAAGGAAACGGCCGCACCGGACTGTGTAAATCACGGGCGAGCGAAAGACTATGCACCGCTCCAGGCGTCACGCACCGCAGCATCGAATGTTCCACGTGCAGCAAACATGTTTAAACCACGTTCCTTTGCCGACGCAGACGCAAAATGTCTTCCTTGTAAGATCTGATAAGCATCCCAAGGCGCGTCCAAGCATGGCCACGGCCACATGCAGCAGCCAGTGAGCTGTACAGAATCACCTCAGTACGTGCTTTACCATGTGCAAATCGAAGAACCCCAAGGTTTGCAGAAGCGCGAGTCTTGAAGCGACAACTGCCCAACTGAGACGTGCGTATATAATCGTGAAAATACATAAATGACTGATTTCTATCTACCTATCTATATGTATATATGTTTATATATATATATATATATATACATACATACACACTGGGTTGTCTGCGGACTTGGTTCGGTATAGAGCTCTGAGCGAAAAGCCTAACGTGTGACTTTCTTTAGGGCCATAAGGGCCATAAGCCTCTATAATGCGTTTCTTTGGCCCGGGCGGAAGTTTTGGGTTTGCTTCATTCGGCCATTCGGCTTTTCTGCTAACGGTCAATCTTTTAATTGAGTAGAGGATCAGGAACCTAAACCCCCGGACCCCAAAACCCTTTAGGGCACCCCCCAATTTACAGCTACAGGAACCCTGAAGCCGAGCCCCCCAACCTTACAGCTTGTATACCTGTCTGGGGATCCCCAAACCCGCTAAACAGCTCTAGTATACTACCACTGGACTACTTGCTGTACTAGTGTACTACTAGGTACTACTGAACCCCGATCACTGCAAGACAACTACCAAGACTAAACACCATGTATTTTGAAGACCTTTCCTTCATCCTACAGTAGCTAGGCCCCTAAACGTCCTCTCAAAAGCTCCAGCTCCAGGTACCTCCAAACCACACCGTACTACATTATAATACTACTACTGTACTACTATTCACTCACCAATTGCACATCCTTCTAAAGAGCATATCTCCCCGCACAATCCCGACACCCTACAGCCCCCACCCGCAATCCGGGCATCCGCGGAGGATCGCAGACAAAAGCCACCCCCAACCCCTCGGATACCGCAAAACCCCTCTGAGTTAGTCAAACCCACCCAGACCCCAACCCAAGTCAAGGGGTCGGGGGGTTCATATTATTCAGGCCAACCCCGAATGGTCGGGGGGGGTTGCCCCACTAGAGACAGCCACACACTAGAACCCGAGAATGCGGTGGACTTCAACAGATTTAGTAGTTTGCTCTCATAGTATAGTACTCGTACAATCGCCCATCCGAGCTGCATCGGCTTCAATGCTCGCGTCGCCTGCGTGCCCGGGCTCTGGGAATCAAGCTGACTGCAAAAAGGGAAATTGACCGTGACGCCTTCGTGCCGCAGCAACGATCGGGCAACGCCAATGCTTCAATAGTTGCGACCGAATCCGCGCCCCTACTCTCTGTGCACACCTCTGTGGCAAGCTTACCTGACATCGAAAATAGTTCCACAGCGCTCTGCCACTGACAGCCCTTCTCCATGGCCTCGGCACGACTCTGCCGTTCGATCTGGTTCAAAGCTTGAGGAGACGCAATCTCACAGGAGCTAGCAAGTGTCACCATGCAGTTCATCGCAGTACTAAACCACCTTGTCTGGACATGCTTCCTACTAGCAATGAACTGCAACTCTTCGTCTTCTGACCAAGACTTGCTGGGTAGCCATAATGTCTTGGCAAAGCTTCGCGAGATCAATGTTTATTGGATGTTGTTTCGATTCTTCATGATGTCTAATTATATTAATTGGCTGATGTTGACGTATCTGAAATTTCAATTCTCCGTTGCTACGAAGAGATACAACTCAAAGTCAATACAGTTTTCGCTACAGTATCCCTGACCTCGCTGCGTGTCTCCCCAGCAATTTGAAGTTGTTGTTCATGTCTACGGTGTCCCGTTAACTGTCATTCTCTAAGGTTTCCGCCAGCAACAAACAAGCTCCCATGCGCGTAAAAGCGAGTGCCGGATGTGGTTCTCAGGATGATGGATTGATTGAAGAGCAGTCGTACAAAGTATTGCATCGTGCAGAATATCATGATCTCTGTTTGTTCCACTGTAACGGACATGCACACTCCCTTTGCGCTCATTCACACTATCCTGACACCGGCAAAGCACGCTGAACTTGCACGGGCAGAGAGTAGTAGTCACTGCCACGGCGAATACCGAAGTTGCGATTCTCAACTCCTGCAAAGACCGAACACTGAAGCGCGCGGCCGGAAAGCCTACACGTCGCAAGCACAGATGCCTGCGACATGACCCTCTGCTGTTCTGTTGAGCGGCGCTGACCCCAGCGCTGACGGTTACGAGAGTCGGTTCCAAGCCGGCCTCAAAGCACACACGGATGCAGCTCCTTACCTTTAAGCAGCTCGCGCTACAACTCCGCGAGTACTGCAACCAGGTAGAAGGCTTTGCGCAAGCTTTTAAATCTTTGGATGGGAATCGCAAGGGGAGGACTTCGGGCCTGGTCTTTCGATGCTATGCTGGCCCGCTTGTGAACTTCCTTGCCCGACGGCATCCGGAAACTGCATCCGGAACTGAATCCATTGCGATGCATACGCCCTCATGCGCGACAAAGCTTCTATTTGCATGTCAACCGCCTTCGCCAAAGACCGTTCGGCTCACTGAATGCTAAATGTGTATAACCCGTATGTTGACGACTTCCCGCAGTCAGTCTTACAGAAGATGTGATGCTAAACTCTGATCCGGGAGCAGCCCGAGCTTCTTCTTGGCCCCTGAAACCGAACAGATGCAACCGTCGTCCTCATCTGAACATGCCTCTCCCTCTCCCTCTCTCGCTCTCTCTTTCTCTCTCTCTCTCTCTTTTCTTTCTTTCGCCAGGGCTATGGTGTAGGGATTCTACCCCCTGCACTGCGCGCATGTGCGCCCCCGACCGTGGCGGCGGAGGACAGAAAGTTGCATGCACACCACGACTCTGGGAGCCTCTCTTTCCTTCTTTCTGCCGGGCTTAGGGGTCGGTTCGCTCGACCTGTAGGCTGCTCTCTTGCGCTCGCTTTGAAGTGACAAGCAGATCTGAAACAGCTTCCTCATATGCCTCCAAGCTGTCCTGGAGGCACTTCAGCGCCGCCTGCCACTTGCTACCTCGCTCACATGCGCTGATGAGCCTCAGCTGTGCAAAGCTGGATTCGTTGCATGGGATCTTGGTAGCATGAGAACTAGTAGCTAGAACTGAAACTGCCTGTGCCGACAAAGCACCCCATGCATCCTTCAGGCCGAGTCTGAAGCAACATCAAACATTGGATCTGAAACGATGTCCAGGAGCGAGTTGTATGTTACAATATCAGCACAGAGGCTTTCGGCCTGCAGCTCCTTTCACAGGCTTCCGATGATTAGGTCCGAGCGCACTAGCCGTGATGATGCTGAGCCTTACCAGACTGTGAAGGCAAGCAATCAGTGCAGTGTCCTGGAAGCAGCGAAGCGCTTGAGTCCAATGCGAGCCTGTGGGCAATCCAGCACTTTGGAGACAGCACAGCACATGTACACAACTTCTCAACATCATGATATGATGCTGAAAGCTGTTGACCTTGCGGCAGGATGTACACCTAATCTCTGCCACATCGCTTGATTCTGGTGCAACAAAACCAACACTGGAGCTACAATCCTTTGCCGGATGCCGCCAACTGCGCGGGCAACTACCAAGCTATGTTGACACGGCCTAGTTGACCGGAAGCCCCCTCAAGTGAACCCGAGTGTCAATGAAGAAGCTAGAGTCTACGGACGAAGCTTGCGGTCGGTTGACCGCACGATGGAAAGAGGAGCTTGAAAAAACTCATCGGTTGACTTGACGTCTCTTCGTGGGAGCCGTAGTTGATGCAGGTGTCCACCTCAATACATTGTCTTGCACCTGTCGACGAATCCAAAGCCTGCATGGCATGGTTCACATGGTCCGGTGTCAAGTGTTCGTGTAAAGGGTTCCCTGATGTCGGGACATCCTCCTCGCGGCGAAGAAGTGTAACGGGGTGTTTCAGTCTGCTATGCTGAGGTACAGTTCTCCTAACGATTCCGCGCAGCTCAGCCGGCACATCGTGAAGAACACGTGGTCAGATTGACGGTCTTCTGCTGAAGTACTCATCGACTTCCGCGGAAACTCTACGTTTCTCTGTATCTTTGCAAAAAAGATGCGGCACGTCCGGGTGACTGAGACGCTGCTCTTGAACAACATGTGCAAGGTGCACTGAGGTCGTAAGTCATCGAAATTAATTAGTCGGAACTGTTCCTGTGGTCTCGGTGGAAATCCACGGGGCGGCTTTCAGCCCTCCGGTCCCGGTGTCGCGATGTCGCGCGGTTCCCGGTCTCGCCTTTGCCACAGGCGCTTAGCAAGGAGTTGAAGAGGATGGTGTCCACCTGCTGCAGCAACACAATGCAGGGCCGATGCAGCCTGAATCTTGAATGATCCCCCCATGGTCATTCCTGATTCCTAGCGGGACCCGAAAGGCACACAATTTGCGTGGTGGCAGTTTTCGGAGATGCATTCCTTGACCGTGAGCATGGCCGATGATCAACTTCGAAGCTGCACACTTCACTTCCGGGGCACCAGTGGCAAGGTGTGTGTGGGTGGGTGTAGGCCTACTCGTTGGGCTTGCTCCTACGAGCCCGGGTCGACAAGCCAGTGAAGTCCAGGAAGGTCTCAAGCGAAACCATGGAATTGAGGGAGAAAGTCAACAGAAACACGGCAAGCCTCGAGTCGCTTCGCCCGGACATCCGCGAATATATTCAACGCCAGCTGCCACTTCCTGCAAGTTTATCTCAAGACTGGATAATGCGTCGATGTTCGTTCCGCTATGCCAGCACAGACCCCAAACAATGAAACACAGTCGGCAGAGTGCCCCCAAGGTGCCCAAGACAAAAAGCAGTCCAGAAATATCCTACCGGGAGGCCTGTGTTCAAACCCCTCCCGGAGCAACTGCGCTACCGTTTGGGACTTACGGGTTGTTCACCCGCGCCTTCTCCTAGGTTCATTCATGGTTTCACCATGTCAGTTGAATGAGTTGAGGGTTCACGGGTTCGTGTTCTCCTCCGGGTTTTCCTGGTTCTAAAAGTCAAGACGTTCACCGTTCCTTGTCGCGAGCACTTCACGAGACCCGGTCAAGTGAGGCTGAGGGTGGGGATGAGAGCGAGGGTCAAGCGTGAGAGTGAAGGTGCGGCGTACTGGTGAGGGTAGGGGTGAGAGTGAAGGTGAGGGCGCGCGCAGGTACAAGCACAGCAAGGACTGCTGCACCTGTGACTCTTCCCGATGTCCCCCAACGTCTTCACTCATCACGGTGCATGCACAGAGCGTTGAAACTCTGAAAATCATGTTCCGAACGAGTCCATTTGCATCGAATTGGACTCGAGCGAAGGATTTCGACTCTGAGCTTGATGCAACATCCAATACTTTCAGTATGTCACGCTGGGAACGACGATGGACACCCCCGAAAATGAATTGCAATGAGGCAAGAACACGAGCCGCACCCCAAAATCTGTGCGGGACCGTGGATTTCGGTGATTACAAATTCCAGTTCCGCTGGAATGTCGGACGATCACGAGTCACGACCATGCCGTTGCGGGAGCAGGCTTTCCGCACAAAACAGTCGAAATACGAGCGCGGTACTGGTGGTGGTTCGGAAGGTCTGTGGGAAAACGATTTTAATCCCCAACTTTGGGAAATCTATTAAGAGCTGAATTAATCTATGCGGAGAATGCCTGCCAGAGTGGGAGCGCCACGTACTCGCTCTTCCGTGCGAACAGTATCTAAATCAACACCCATAAGATCCCATAAGCTGTGTGTCACACAGCTTGGGCCCTACACTCTTAGGACTCTTTGAGATCGAGATGCACTGCTTCCTTACAAACTCTTCCTTCTCTGGAGGCCCTGAAAGCACGGTCTACGACTGAGCTGCGGGTTACGCGCTGATCCCACCATCTGCTGATGTGCTAGGAAAACGCTCTGAAGCGTAGCGCTATGGAATCCGCCCCGGAAGCAGGAACTCCCAACGCGAAATCTCAAACCGTCGCAGACTTGCCGAGGAGGCCTGCCCCATGCACCAGACGCCTTGCAGCCAAGTGTCCGTGCCCGATCGCATGCGCTCAGTGCCTGCAGCGCAGTCTTCCAAAGTCGTAAAAGGCTTCCAGATGAAACTTTGCAATACGGTGAAGCACATGCTTTTCGTCTATTCCCATGGTGCGCAACCACGGATGTCCGATCGTCCGAAAGTCCGAGAAGCAACTATGAAGACTATATTAGCATACGTTGGCATTGAAGCGTGAGTGGTGAAAATCCGAGCTCTGAAGGCGCCAAGGGCCTTGGTGCAGAGGCGAAGTGTCGGGCCGGACGGGTCGAGAAAGAGCTGGGCGACGGCATTTTCCTCGGAAAAGGGGTGATCTCTGTGGGGTGTGCTGCACAGCAACACGGTGCGCCGGTGGCAATGATCCTGGCGACCCATATAAAATTTGTACTCACACTTCCGCTTCGTGGTCCGACCAGTCAGTCGGGATGACATCACGAAGTTCCACCGAAACAGTTCGGGTTCAACTCATGCACTCGCAAAGTAGGCACGGGTCCAGGTACCAGGTCAATTCGGGTTCAAGGGCTTGCATCACCATGCAAACCTTGATCACAGTCCGCAAGATACTTTCAAGTGCCACAACTGCCGCAACCCTAGCCCGCAGCTACCTACCATGTGAGAATGCCTGATATACATAGCCGAATGTCATGAACTCTGATTTCTTGGCTCGTTGTCAAGCCATTCAGCACAAAACACCTCTCCTCGAGATGATCCACGGCAGAACCGAGGCTCCCAGCGCTTGGCAGTGCCATGAGCAGCCGTGACAGTCGGTTGCAGCATGTTGCAGCTTGGGCTGCGTTCAGGGCGCTCTCGATAACCCGCCAGCCTTGCATCGGCTGCAACGTCATGTGAATGCGACCTTAGAAGTACAGGCGTGCACTTTACGAAGCCTATGCTTTACGCTATGGCCATGATTTTCTCATTCGAGCTTCCGTCAGCGAAGTCGGCGTCTGCATGGCTGCCACGCGGTGCGCCAAACCATGCCCGGGAGGTCCGAAGAGGCTCTACTGCATCTTCTTCATTCTATTCTCATCATGCCAAATCTCTCTGCATCTGCATCGCGGACTTAGCAACGGGCCTAGAAAAGATCCGCATACGGTACTGTCGGTACTGTACTGGCAGTACTAGCACAGGTATGGCAACCTCAACTCCAATACCTAGTACAGTGCAGGGTTCAGGCGCCTGCAAACTCGATTGACTCTCGTGAATCCCATGAAGAGTTGCAAATGCAGTGCCCTGCGCCACCACTTTCTCGGTAGCCCACCCCGATAAAATGAGTGTCTGTCAAGCTTCTTCTAGGCGCTCTATCTGTTATAAACCCCCACAAGCTCGATATTAGCCTTCTCCGACACATGGCCCCCAAACTACAGTCCACAAGATGAGGCCCTAACATCCAATCTAAATACCATCTGGTTTGTGTCAACACGGACTCCTGTAGCGAACGGTGATTTTTCAGTGCCAAGCATTTTCCTTAGCTCACAGCCAGGGCTCTGAGTCCCTCTGCCTCCAGGCGGGATGCAAAGGCAAGGGACTCAGAGACTCGCTTGGCAGCAACCTGAAAAACGCCGAAAAGAAACGCATGCGTCGGACGTCGGATGGCATCGGATTCTATGCAGGCAAGAGGCGCAAGCCTGGAAGGCCGAGGCCACGCAAACGAAGTCGCCGGGCCCAAGGGTTGCTTGCTGCAACATCGTCAGCAGTTGCCTTGGGACGGGTCTCGGAAGCGCTTGGGATATCAATCTCTCTTCCTTTGCGCGGCTTGGGCGCAGGGCTGCGGCCCAAGCCGCGGCTGCCTGGCAAACGGCCAAGACAGCGTAGCAGCTGACGAGGTCAAATTCCAGCTGCCGCAACTTCAGCTCCTCGAAATCTCGAGCTTTCGCCCCCGGCTTTCAACACCAAAAGATACTCTTTTGCCGTTCCAATTTCAGCCCGCTCATAATTAGTTGTTGAATTGCCGCTGTTGACGTTGACTCATTCTGGGTCCTCCAAGAGCAGGAATGCTCTCTGCCACTGCCCCTCCTCTCTGCAGGAGCTAATGGCTGCATTGTACGTGATGGTGTTTGCACGGATGTCCTCGGCTGGCTGAGGCAGGATTCGGGATGTCAGCGAAAGCTTCTTTGAGGCAGCGCTAGAGGTGGAGACCCGTCGTGAAGATGCTGGGCTTCGCAGTCATGGGGGCAACTGTAAGCTTTGACCCTCTGTCAACAGCATCGGGCAAAGATGCTAGAACGCAGGCCATCACAGTTTCTCTTGTGTGGGATGAGCACGCCGTCCCTAATTCACGCCCCTAATCTAAGCACAATACCTTGTCAGTTTGGTTGCAAAGCCTGGACAAGCGTCTGCCCTTTGCATCTGCAGCAGCAGCTGCAGCACCTTTTGCCACTGACCTCCCTTCTCACAGGCGCTGATCGCAGCACTGTACGTGATCAGGTTTGCCTGGGAGGAGTCGAACAACTCCAGGGCAAGCCACCACTTCTCCCCGGAAACACAGGCGCTGATTGCAGCACTGAGCAGAACCACGTCCGCTTCCATCGACTGTGCCCGGGATTCCTCAAACAGCGCCAAAGCCTGCTGCCACTCCTTTGCCTTCTCACACGCGCTTACAGCGGCACTGTAAGCTATCACATTAAGGGACTTCATGCTGTCGGCGTGCCGCAGCAGATCCACAGCCACCTGCCACTGATGGCACCTTCCACATCCACTGGTGCTGGCGCTGTACGAGAAGGAATCTGGCGATATCGTCAACTGGAACATCTCTTCCAAAATGGCCAGGATCATCTGCCACTGCTCACCTTTCTCACATGCACTAAGTACCGCGTTGTAAGTAACACGGTTGGCGGTGGAGACTTCCCGGAGCTCCAGCAGCAGAAGCCGGGCGTACTCCCACTCCCCCGCCTTCTCGCAGGCACTCACCTTCAAATGATTACAATGCTACAAGTAGTTTGTCGTGCCAGCTGCAGGTCGCTGTCCCAAAACAGGTAAGACTGATGCTCGAGAGAGACCAAGCTTCGGCGGCGCTGCCGATGATCACATCTAACTTCAGGCCTTGCCTGCTTGCGTCTGAAAGTGTCCGAAGAGCCTGCTGCCACTGAGCTCCTTTCTCGCATGCAGTCACCTGTCGAGCTGCAGTAGACAGGAAGACCGCTCCCGCAAAGCCGGGCAAAAACGGCTTCTAAGCCAGACAAACAACTTTCCAAATCTGGCCGTGGCACCGCAGCACTATAAAGGATCACATTGGTCTGGAGCGCAAGAGCTTGACAGTCCCTGAAGAACTCTAGCGCCTGTTGCCACTGCTCTCCAGCCGCGCATGCACTCACCAAGGAGCTGTAGGTAACAACCTGAAGAAGAAGTCAACATCCCAAGCGATTCAAGTCTGGAGATTCCAGGACGATCGTGACTCTAGACTGCCATGCGCTCTGAAGCTTGACGAATCATCCTGAAAGCGGTCTTGGAAAAGGCTGCCGTTTACACAGGAGAGCCACAGTCGGCTGGTAGCTCTGAAATTGGAGAGTTTCGAAGAGATTGCAAGCAGCTTGCCATTGGCTACCTTTCTCACCTTTGTGCATCGGTGTTTGTTCAGCAGTTCAAACAAAGGCGGCTAGTCGCAAACAAGCCCAAGCTGCATGCATGGATGCAGGAGTTGAAGGTTACCACGTCCGGCTGCAGGGAGCTAGGAAAATTGTCCAGCAATTGCACGGCATGAGCCCACTGATGGCCCCGAGCACAGGCATTCATGGCTGCATTACAGATTGATGTTTCCTGAACAGGAATCCATTCCATGACTCCCAGCGACTGCTGCCACTTTGCAGCCTTTGCGCAAGCCTTCATTGTCTGCATGTACACCTGGGCCAGGAGACTTGACTACACCCCTGGGGCAAGCCCCACCCGCTGTCACAAACAAGAAGCATCACCAATAGCAGGTCTGACTGCAGACTATAACCCCTGCATACTGAGTCAAATGATCATCATAACAACGAAAGCACCAACTGAAACCTACTCAGAACCAGGACCTGAATGAATAATGGACATCTACATTAGGTAACACACACGTTTTTGCACGTGTGTGGATATATATATATATATATATATATGTATGATACATATACATATATATGCAAATACACATACATGTACATATACAAAGACATAGGTACATTGGTCATGTTTGGTCACTCGTGCTCGACAAGTCAGACGAGGTTTGACAGGCTTAACAGACTATGCAGTACAGCAACAATGCTCACATTGGAGCACGTTCAGGAATCAAGCTATCTTTCGGCGATTCAGTCTTCATCAGGATCTTAAGTCCAGTCCACAACACTCCAGCACTTCCCACTCAGGAACTACGACAGCCACAAACCAGCTTCACGAAAGACTGTGAAGGGCATGCTCATATTCGGACCCGTGTGCTCCAAGCCGAAGACTCATACATTGTCATACATGAACACACAAACACATATCCTAGAAACACAGACAAAGACATGCACACACACACACACACACAGAGGTGCGTGTATACGTATGTATATCTATATATAGATATGCATGCTAAACAAAAAACTATATATATATATATGTATATTATATATATACATATATATATATATATATATATATATATTCACATGTGTATACCCGTATACCCCTCCCCAAAATCTACCCTCGAGTCGACTCTACAGGTTGCTTCCAATGTATAAGTACGCGACTGAGAGACGCCGAAGATATACTTACATACATACATACATACATACACACATACCTACACACATACACACATACATACATACGTACATCTTTAGCACTCGCGCTCGACTGCTGCAGGCGAGGGTACATGCATGCATAATTACATACACGCATATGTATGTATCTGTCATCTTAGTGGTTTATGATAGCCGCGCCCACGCCGACATATTCAAGAGGCTGCATGGTGGAGCTTCTGGTCGGGAAGTGCCTTTACCAGCAGTCCTATAGCCATCTGCCAATTCGTGTGTTGCGCCTGGTTTTGAATCGCTTCGGCTAGCCCACAGGCGCTGGCAGAAGTGGTTGCAGTCGCCATCACCCAGTTTGGTGTCGACGGCCTGCTTCCCAAATTTGGAGAGCTTCTCGGCTGACTGAGGACTTCGATCCACCGGCGGCAGCAATTGCAGGCACGGTGAGGACCAACACGCGCATCATGCGTTGACGTCGCAAGAAGTTAGTGCAAGTGCACAATTGGAAGTTGCATGCTGCAGGCTGAAAGGAAGTTGCCCGAATAGCCTTAAGACTAACTGCCTCAGCAGTTCTAAATTTTCATTGCGTCCTGTATGTCCGCTCCAAAGATGTACTTTTGTCTAATTGGATGATTAAACCTCCGATCTTTAGCCAATTCAGCTCACATGGAAAGTTTTCAGCTCACACGGACAGTTCTTTCTCAATCTGAACCGACTCTCGCAAATGCGTCCAGCAGGGCCTGGCGAAAGATGGAATTCCATCGGAAGCTGAGCCTGGCATGGAAGATGGCAGCGATGCCAAGCCCTGAGACACCGACACAGCCGCAACAAACCTTCACCTCCGCAAAGATGATCATCGGCACTGGTTCAAGGCACTGATGGACACGACTGCCGAGACATTGACCAGGACAGAGACAGAAACTTCAAGCGGTAGATTGCAGATGAGCACAAGCCGTCCTTCACGAAACAGAAAAGACAGTGTCATGTCTGATAGATATCTGAATAATCGCCTTTCGTTACAGTGTCCCGAAGCTCTGGCTGCTAGCTGCTAGCTGTCATACTCACAAACCAGGAATCACTCTCAAGACGACGCATCACATCACGACGGGATGCTTGTGCGCTTAGAAAGCTTCGACCCAAAGAGAGGAGCACAGCACGAGTCCAAAATGCATACCAGACTGTGGCGGGAGCGCTTCGCATTATCGGCGGTGGGAACACGAGGCACAGCGTGAAAAGGATGAGCACCCCAAGACACGCACGGCACTGAATGCGCCTGGAACACCTAATTTATTTTGCCAGATTCCGAAGCGGGATTTTCGAGACAGATGACCGCTAAATTGAATGCAAGAGCCCTTCAGGAACGACTTACACAGTTTAGCGTTGTGACGTCCGGAATCCTGTGGCCACAGGCCTCACCGCTCACTGCGCGTCCCGGCATTTTTTCCCTCTCGCATTGCTTGCATTGGAATGTAGCCTTTTCTCCCCGTCGCCCGTTGCATGCATCCAACTGCCAGGAGCGACTGGAGCCAGCCGCAGCACAGTCAGACTATGTAGGGGTAGCTTTCTCATTCAATTCGTGCTGGCCGCGTCTCCAGAAGCTCTCGGATATACCATGATATACTATTGCGGGAAGCATAGCGGGCCCCGGCAGAATGCCCTAAACCCCGCGCAAAACTTCCGAAAGTCTAAGACCAGATATCCACCTCTCTCAGAAGTGCCAACGCCAAGTCTCAGTCTGCACGGCCAATCGTTTGGGCAACATTCCTCGAGTCAAGCGGAGCGGCTCCAGGTATGCTCTAGAAAGCCTTCAAAACTTGAAGAACCGAGCTTCCGATTAGCTGAGTAGCTTCCGGGCCCGCCCATGTCGCAGCAGAGTTCGACGCAGGGCCGCAGGGCTGCACTCGTCCGCTGCACGTCGCGTGCCGTGGCTTCACAGAGATCGCCGCGCGAGGCAGTTCCCGTATACAATACGGGAAAGCTTCTTGTCTGGATTCCGCCGCATAAGATGAGGGTTTCCCCCGAAGGATCTCGTCAGCGCAGCGAACATCCGCGTCTGAGCCTCGTTCTACCAGAGAACACCTTGCCTGGTCACCAATAACGTGCTCTTCCTCAGGTTGTTTCGCTGCACAATCAAAATTACATTAGCTTCAGGACTTCTAGTACCGCTGGACTGAAAAATCCAATAACCGATATCAGTTTCCAGCTTGTGGAGCCTGTGAAACGAACACCAAAGAAATCAACAGGCGAAGCTTCAAGCAAGTCATATACCCCAGGCCCACTCCGACAGCCTCGCGCCTGCCTTTGCCACTGCTTGTATCGCCACAGTATAGGTCACCTGTGCCAAACGATAGATTCTCAGCTGGGGGGGCTGAGCCAGTCTAAGCTCGAGCATATTACCGAGTGCAGAGTGACAAGTGCCAAAAGTCAGTTGCGTGCCATTCAATTCTCTGACGCCGAAGCACTAGGGATTTGACATGATGGCCCTGCGAAAATGCAACACGCAAAGGCTTCAAGAGCAACGTTGCGGGCGGCAAATTCCTGTTATTGCCTTCCCATCCTCCTGTAACTTGCTAGCCGCTAGCCAACCTTGCGTCATCTTGCGCAAATGTTAAATAGCGGGTGGTGTGGCTGAGTGGAGCTCGATTGCGCCCTGGATGGTGCTCTTCATGGCTCAGATATTTGGCAGGGCGAGCATCCCTTGTCTTGCTATGGACGCTAGTTCGCCCATCCAGGCCAACTCAATACTCTACTCGCCGTGAGCCCTCGAGCTGCTTTCCACAACGTGGTTTTCATGTTTCTTCCCAGGGCGTGTGATGCGGCGTGTGGAGCTTGCAAACAGTGTTGGATCGGATTCGATGGCCTGTTAGGGAATGCATACAGTACCAGGTAATTACAGTCACTCCTGTCCGGGGCTCCGGAGGACAGCCACTGCCCTCGAATGCCCTAAAGTAACCAGACATGTAAAATCATGAGCCCGCTCATTGCGTACAAAGGCGACACGCTTTTGGACGCTTCCTTCCCAATGAATGTGGAGCTGCTCAGCTACGACGAGTCTTCTCACACCGCGTGTTCGGAGCCCGCAGCACAGGCAATCTTGAACTCATGCAAACAAACAAAGCCACACAAGCAACCACCAGTCGCCGGCAAGTCCTCTCTTCGGGCCTCCGTGTCGGCCTCGCTTTGCCCCTCTAGCTCCTGGCCAGGTCTGGGCAACGCGTTGAGCGCAACATAGCTTCAAACGCCAAGCAAGCCGTAGCTTGTCCATCGGATGCTTAGAAGAAGTAATTCGTAACAGACCGAATGACAAATCAAAGCACTCTTGAGAGTTTTCAGCAACACATTCCTATAGTCTCGGTTCGGGCATGTGAGGCCGGCCCTTCGGCGGTGGCACCTCGAATCCAAACGCAAGCCCAGCTGCATCACCAAGGACTAATCTCTCGCCTCGAGCAGCGCCAGGGCATGTCTCCAGTGCGCCTCTCTGGCGCAGGCGCTGGCTGCTGCTGAGAAGGCCACAACCTGCGTTTGGGAACTTTGCGCTAGTCTGATCTGCCTCCAAAACAGTTGGGGACTCTTTGGTGTTCAGAAATCTATTCTGTTGGTAGGTGTTTGTTTCACTGAAAAGGCAAGCTGAGTAACCCTGGACATCCCAGGACGCAAGGCAGAGCTACGACCAGCTTACGACTTCACGACTGTGGGCCCTGAATCCCGCCAGACTCCGGTTTATGTTTTCTGATTCCGGGGTGTGGCAGTTACTCTGGGAAGAAGAATCTGTTTATCGGCAGTGTGGCTCAGCTGCAGAGCCTGAAATAACAAGTTCCGAATGGAATGTGCAAGCCCACGGCTGATCATGCTGATCAGACCTGGAGCTTTCGCCGAGCTCTGAAACCGAAGGCTTCAATGCCATCCAATTTCTAAGATCTGTGCAAGGGAGATGCGAAAGATGCCAAGTACTTTTGGGCGCTCGCACTGGCGAGCACAAAGTGTTGCAGGCGACAGCCTGAATTACAGGCCTGGATGCCGTTACCCGCTTTGAAGGCCCGCTGCCGCAACTTTGCCCGACTGGCCCACTCTTCACCCGAATGCTTGAACCTACCGTAGACTTGGCCAAATCCTCAGCATCTAAGCACTAAGCCATGCCTGGTCCACGAAAAATGCAGCATCATTTGCAGGTCTCTCTTTTTCTCTCTCTCTCTCTCTCTCTCGCTCTCTCTCTCTCTCTCTCTGTCTCTCTCTCCTTCCCCATACCTTCCTCTAAGGCCTACACCTAGACCTTAAAGCCTAAAGACTCTAAACCAAGCTAAGACGCAAGAAGCCCTGAACAAGAACAAGCCCTAACGCCGACGTGACCGAGGTCATGCCACGGAATGACGGAATGCCGTGACTGTCGAAGCGCTGCTTCCGCCCTAAACTTTAAACCCCAAACACTTAGTTTAGAACTATATAAATAGTTGAGGTCAGTGAAAAGCCTTTTGTTTCGTTGGGGCTTTTCTTCTTCTGCCGAGACGTCTGCAGACCCCAAAATGCGCGGGAGAGCTTCGGCAGGCGCATCTTTTGCTTTCTTGGGGGCTACCTGTATTCACCGCCTCTCGGCCTCCAGGCCCACCCTGGAGGGGTTATGGTCACGGGTTCGACATCAACAGCGGGAATGTAACGTAGGACATCAGGATTTCTCGAGGGCCCGTAGGGGGCGGCGACTCGGCTCGCACTCAGATGCTCTTGGCGACACGACGAGTTCACCGAACGTACAACTCATGCGGGTGTGAAGGGCTACTCGTTTCCTCAAGAGTCTGCTCGTCCCAGCCCCTGCCACCTGTTAGCAGCCAACTAATCTGTTATATGTTTGTCAAGTAGCATTGGGACCAAGCCCTTCCAAGAGAAAAGTAGATCGTTGCCACTGGCCCGCTTTCCTGGCCATGAACGTCCACAGGCGGAGTGAACACAGGCTTGTTGCTAGAGTCTAGAGACTTTCAAGAGGGCGTAATTAGCACCTGCCCGTGGTGCAGAGGCATCCATGTATTCCTTGGAACTGGAAGAGAGAGAGAGAGGGAGAGAGAGAGAGAGAGAGAGAGAGAGAGAGGGAGGGGGAGAGAGGGAGACAGAGAGAGGGAGAGCAACTAAACTCAATTGCCTCTCAATTCCCAAACTCCCTCCAGCCGAAAGACTCGCAGGCGCTGATGGCGGCGCTAAAGGCGACGACGTCGATACGCAGGGCCACCCGTTGTGCCTGCCAAAAACACGATTTTGGTCGAGTTGTGCGATATGTGAACTTCATAACTTCATAACGTCGCTTCTGGGAGCTCGAGCCTGGCCCGCGCTGCAGATTCGGGCTTCCGCCCGTTGAGTTCGC